TTCTGCTGCACTCATTTCCCTCGCCCCTTTAACACTCTCTGATGCTACTGTCTTTGAATTGCAGCAAGCACAGCTTAGGTTTTGCTGTCCTTTGACTTCCAGTTCTTTGTTTTGATTGCTTCTTGGCTAACTCCCCTTCCCTTTTTCATGTGCTTTTCCCCTCACGCAGCTCACTCCTCCCCTGTTGGTTTGATCTTCTCCTCGTGTTTTGCTGCGTTGGGCATTTTGCTGATCTCCTGCAGCCACCCTCGACGTGCACGTTTCCCATCCTGGTGTTTCAGATTCCTCCTGCTGCTGCAGGAGCTCTGTAAACCAGCTCCTGTAATGCCACGCAGATGTGTTAGGAGCCAATGCTGCTCGGCGTTGCTTTGGGAATGCCTCAAACCTAGCACAGCAGCACTGAAGCACTCAACTTCGGGCATGCTCAGCAGCTGTGAAAAGCCCTCTCATTTCTTAGCAAGAAGATTCCCAATGCAAGGATTCTGCAAGGAACAAGGAAGAAAACAGCAAGAACCACCGTGATCCCAGAAAGAAGAGGAGAAAGCGGGGGTGCGTTCCTCAGACACAGCACCACAAACGCGTCCTGTGGAAAGGCTGCTGGCACACGTTGCTTATGCACTGCCTCTTCCACACGGGCTTGGTGAGTTATCCTTTTTAGAGGGAAGACAACACAGTGCTGTTATTTAATCACAAGAGGCTCCACCTGCACACACACACTGAAAGCAGCAGGTATGTTGGTGGGTAGAGCACCAGGCTGCCATGCTACAGGTGAGGGAAATGACCCACAGGGACCGAGCCTGGAGTCTTTCTGTTTCGGTCCATGCACTAACACAACCCCTCTTGTTAAACAAAGTATGTAAGGTCTTGAACCATGCTTTGGTTTCACAAGATCAGGGGCCAGGGTGGGGAAGAAAACATTGTTTTCCTCCAGGGAGAGGGGGGTGCACTCTTTTCAAGTCATTTTCCAGACACAGCTTCCAGAATCACTACCTCGCACATCAATTCTTAAGACTCATGTCAGAGAATCGCAGAAAGGTTTGGGTTGGAAGGGGCCTTACAGACCACCCAGTTCCAGCCCCCCTGCCATGGGCAGGGACACCTCCCACCAGCCTAGGTTGCCCAAAGCCCCATCCAGCCTGGCCTTGAGCACCTCCAGGGATGGGGCATCCACAGCTTCTCTGGGCAGCCCGTGCCAGGGCCTCACCACCCTCTGGATGAAGAACTTCTTTATGTCTGATCTAAATCTCCTCTTCGTTCAAAGCCATTCCCCCTTGTCCTATCACTCCACTCCCTGACAGAGTCCCTCCCCACCCTTCTTGCAGGCCCCCTTTAGGTACTGGAAGGCCACAGTGAGGTCTCCCAAGAGCCTTCTCTATGTCCTAACATAGTGCTAGCTTTGAAAAACAGGTGTTTAGTTGTTTTGTTTTTTTCTAAAACATCCAGCACTGTTTATTTTTCTTATGCTTTATAATGTATGCATTCATAAGAGCATTAGAGACTCACCCCTGCTGACCATTTGTAGAAACAGTCATCTAAAAAGAGTAAGTCTACACCTTCTCTAAAATATTAAGACGCCTTTGGGTGGAGGAAGGGGAGGGGAAAAAGCATTTTATGCTCCAATTGAGTCATTCTTGGCTTTAAAAAAATGTTTGGTCATTTTATCACCTCCTGACCAGCACTCCCGAAAACAAGACCTGCAGAAACCACTCCTTTGAGAGGCTTGTTCCTAACAAAAGCCAAACCTTAAGCGCCAGCTCCTTACATGTCAGTGTCACCCAGTTATCTGAAATAAGGAAAGTATTACTAAGGGCAATAGGTAAAATGAATACCCTTCACCTTTCGTGACGGGTATTCACTTTAAGCCGTGCCAGGGCACCTCTCCCAGCAAGGTGCCTGCAGGACCCGGGAGCAGCTGCCCAGCTGGCGGACCATCACGTCCACCTTTCCTCCTCTCACACCCCTCCTGAGAAGAGAGTCTACCAGAGCCCACTCATAACAAGTTTTACGTTCTGGATATCAGGAGTTTCCAAGCCTGTTCTGTTTCCTTCTCGCTCTCAGATTACCAAGTGATCTAACTGAGAGCACATCCAAGGGGAGCTCAAAAGCAGTTCCATGAATCACATTCCCATGTGCACACACGGACCCATCCGAACCACTTCGCCGGCCATTTGTGCTCAGTTAGTGTCAAGCTCCTGCAAAACCCCTACAGAAACAAGCCTTTAATGCAGGTCATGAATATTTGCTTCTTGAGCTGGGGCTTGCCATAGTAGCTACAGCTGTTTAAAAATATATAGACAATAAAAATTCAGAAACTCTCCCTGACGCTGTTTCAAGAGAAGCCAAGTCGGTCACATCTTGACTTCTGATTCACTACGGTACAGCACACTGCCCAACATTAAAGTTTACTTTTACTTGTTGGTACAGTGAAGGAACCACATTAAGAATTCGCCCCGAGAACACCAAGCAATGACTGTAAAATGGGATCGTCTTGACTCATACATAAATGCATGTGGAAATTATCCTAAAATTAATTTTCTCTTCTGTAACACTGCAAGCGATTCTAGCAGCTTTCTGGCCAACCGATGAATAAAACTGAATCCACGAAAAGGAGCTTTGTAAGGGATTTTTGTTCCGTCTTATGTAACTTTGTAGATCCAGTACAACTGCTCTGAAGTCTCCACTCTTTAAACAAGCCTTGATCTGAATGTCTCAGAAGTCTTTCAAGAAAAAGCAAAGAACAAAATAAAGTCTGCTGATTCTGAGAAACAAGTTATGAAAAGATCATGGCACCTGCTCTCAGGGACTAGTCACCTTCCAAGATACCTCTCTCCCAGAGGGAATAAAGAAAGCATTAAACCAAATTAAGCCGCATACGAGACAAACATCTAATATAATCATGCAGCTGGAACAGCTATCTATTAATTATACTTTAAGGTCTGTGTAGTTGGTCAAGAGAGATTGTGGGTTCAACCCTAGGGGCAGATTTCTACCTAAAGCAAACTGAAAAAACATGGATTTTGTTAATAAATGCTTTAGATAGCATATGTACACTGTACACTAAAGAATTACAATTTTTTGTAAGTCAAGTAGGCATTCATGAGTTAAGAAACAAAGAGTACAGATTGTTTGTGGAACGTTCCCTTTCTCATAAGGTAGATTTAAAAAAAAAAAATCACAATTCAAATCCTCTTAATAGTTAACACAATATCCAGACCTCAGTTAGCAGAGGTCCAAACACATCTTAAACGCTGCTTCACTCTCCTCCTCAGCACCCTGAATGGGAGCTGACCAAACCCCAGGTCTGCAAACAATGCAGTCTTACCCAGCAACATTATCCTTTAAAGGAAAAAGAAAATGAACTGCACATTTCCTCGAGCAAGCTTTGATACTGCTGCACCCTGATATTGTGCAGGCTGTTTCTGAATATCTCCTCCTCCTCCTTCTGGGCTGCCACAGAAACGCCGGCTGCCTGCGCCAGCCAGGCTTCACGGGCCAGTTGTTTGGGAATGCTGAGAAGTCTGTTATGTTAGGTCAGGAGGAAAGAAACAAAAAGAGTTTTTGAAAGGGTAGAAAGCAGGAGTTGGATAAAACTACGAAGCAAGAACCTTTGTGAGCACAGAGCGTGCAGACTGAGCCCGTGCGTAAGGCAGTTTGTATACATACTGATACCAGCATAAGCCGGAAAACAAAAAGTTATCTTAGGGTATTATTAGAAGTCCCGCTCTGAAAAACACGCTGAGCAGGGACACCGCACGGGGAAGTTTTCGGTAAGTTAATACAGTTGTGACAAAGGAGGGGAACACAGTAAGGACCCTGCTCGTTGCAGAGCCTAACCTACGCTTTGCCTCTTCCTTGGCTTACAGCAGCAGGGCTGTGTAATTAAGGAGAAACCCTTCCAGGCAGCTTTCCTCCACTCGGGGCAGACTCCCAGACGACTTCCCGGTAGCATAAATACCAATCTACATGTCTAAATGCCACTCGGACCTACCGTGGGGTGGCACGGGAATGAGCCAGCAAGGCAGCGAGGGCTCACCGAGGGGGCAGACACTTCACAGAGCCACTGAGGAGCTAGAGGGATACCTCAGGGGCTGAAGGAAAGACTCCAAGGGATGAAGTGTTTCAGCCCTTATCTGTCGGAAACACATCCCAGCCATGTACACGATGTCCGTGGATTCATCCACCACCCTGCTACCCCCTCACACCACGGGTTTCGCTGAAACATCACTCATTTAACTGGATAAAGCTCGACTTCCCCAAAAGCCCTGCTCAGTGCCTGCAGACCCACGGGACCGCCACCTTGATGCAGGGTGAACTTATACACGATTTTTTTTGTCCCCAGCCCGCTGGGGGACAGCCCAGAAAGCAAAACCCAAGCAACCCCTGCGGTACCAGCCGACGGGTCGCGGTTGCTGAGGCGAGCATTAGGACTTTTGACGCCAAACGAGAGACAGGCCAGCTTGCAGCCACCCGAGCTACGAGAAAAGACCCCAAAACACAATAAAATAAACTAAAAAGCCCCCAAACGAGGTCACCGCCCGCCGCCCCTACGCCGGGCAGGGGTCGAGGCCGCGCCTGAGGCGGCGCCGCCGGGGCCCGCAGCCGGGGCCGGGCTCCCCCCGCTCCGAGCCCCGCAGCCCGGGGCGGGCTCCGCCGCCCCCCGGCTCTCACCCGCTGGGCGCTGCCGGCTCCGGGGGTCCCGGCCCGGCTCCGGGAGGCTCCGGGGGGGGTCTCGGGGCGGGTGGCTCCGCTCCTGGGCCGCGCCGGGCTGGGAGTTTCCTGCCTGAGTCACCGGGAGCTGGAGCGGCGCAGGGAAACACCCTTCCTGCCGCTCCAGCTCCTCCTCCTCCTCCTCGTCCCGCCGCCACCGAGCTTTTTCCCTCCCCGGCCCTCCGGTTCGGCCTCCCCCTGACGAGAGGAGGGCGGGGGTTGGGGTTTTTGTTGGGTTTAACACGCCAAAAGGCAGCGCCCGCCTCGGGGCTGCACGCCAAGGGAGAGCCGGGGGCAGCCCCAGCCCCCCCAGTGCCACCCCCCCGTGTGGAAAATTAACGCCTGGGTTTATTTATTTTCCTTCAGTTTGGCAATAAGGGTCAAGGATCTAAGCTGAAAGACAGAGGGGAGGCACCAGGAAACCCCCTGAAGGTATTTCCTCTGGGTGGTGCCCGCATACAGCCCTCGTCCCGGCCGAGACGCCACGGCTGCTGTATTTTTCTGTAAAACGCACCAGGGAGTTGCTCATTTTAAAGGCTCCTTACATTTTTTTCCGTTTCACCTTCTCCCATTTCAAGCTGTGGTTCTTCAAGATTCATCCCATGAACACGTATGCTCTACCACGACATGAAACTGCCTCGTTAAAGCTTGTCAAAATTGCTCTAATTTATGGCGGGCAGAATCCACCTGAGTACATCTATACAGGTTACTGACAACATAGAGCTTGGAAACTTCCAAACAAGTTAGAGTTTTCCTCAAAATTATTCCTTTACTTCATTTTTTTTTCCTTAAACAGCCTTTTTTTTTCTTTTTCTTTCTTTTTTTTTTTTTTCAATATCTACAAGACAGCCTTCAGAAAGTGGGAGTAAGTTGCTAAATCCTATAATTATCATTACTTCAAGTACCGTCTTATCACATTATTTCACATCATCATGAATTCCAACAGCTCGTGGAGAAATTATACATCATTTCAAAACGTTATTGTTCCCATTTCACCGTGTTACTGCCATATCTCCAGAGTCTTATTTTTTCCAGTGCTGCATTCAGTGCTTGTCTGTTAATCTGTGCAAGTTTCTTTTCTAGGATGGGGCTGCTGCTGCTTCTCTGCCTGGATGTTTCCCTGATGTACTCTGAGTGCATACACCGAATGAATGAATTTCACCTGTCACAGTTCCTGATCAGCCTAAAACCAGGCCAGTGAAAATTGTAGAAGATGACGAGAGCGAGATGCTTGTTTCTGGCTGATACTGCACCCTCTTCTACAAACTACTCTTGGGGCAATGTTGTTAAAATAGAAGTTAAAGTTGTTAAAGAACAACTCACCTTTATAATGCAGGATTGGTTTAGTTTCCGTGTCCTGGGTGAGTGCAAACTGACAACAAATTTGTCTTAATGCAGCCACTTGGTCTGCATCAGCATTGAGACCCCAGTTCCCAAGCCACTAGAGAGCAGCAAGGGAGACTTGAAGGGCAATGTTTCTAGACGTGGAACTTGCTCCGAAGGTGTAAGGTCCCAGTGAGCTCCAATCAACTGTGGCTTGCCCCCAAATGGGTGCCACTCCGTGCTCCTAGGCAAGACTGCCGCTGCAGCTCCCAGAAGTGTTACCTGCCAAAGTCACCTGGTGCCAGGAGTGGCTGCTTTGCATGAAAGCAAGACACTGCCAGGAGGCACCGCACTGTCCTTGCAATAACAACTTACCCTAAGGATCAGCTGAGCCCCGGGTCTTCCCATGCTCCTTCTCGAGTCACTGAGTCAGCCCAGGAGATGCTTCCCCACTACTGGAGCAATCCGCTGTTTATTGACATTTCCATACCCAAGTTTATGCCTATCCATGAGGTAAAACATACCGATGATAACTGATGATGATACAGCTTTTCTGCATACCTGGATTTGTGTTGCTTTTCTATTTTCTGATACTGGAACTAAAGGACAATCCCATCTTATCATCTGAATGCATATGTCCTCATGTAATACGAGGCAAGCTTACCAGAATTGTTATAGAGGAGCCCATATCGGAGCATTCCAGCTGCCTGATTTAATTCTGGGTTGCCTCCATGCCTCCCTGCCCTTTCCACTTTCGTGCAACTTAATGAAGAACTGTCTGCAGTGCTTAAGGGGTTCAGTGGGTCCTCATGACCAGCTTCTCCCTTTACAGCATCTGTTCTTCTTATCCTTGCTACATGAATGAGGGCCTTCTGGGCCTGGCCAAAGCCATGTTTATCTACATATACCTAGCTTTCACCTGGTCACCTGCCCACTGGAAGATAGATCTGTGTTTTACGATGCCAACAGCCAGAACTGGGATCTCAAACAGCCCTAACGTGGCTGGAATTTATCTAAACCTAGTGCTTAACCCATACTTGTCCGCTATCTTTGCTGAGATCGATAACACCAAAGTATTCCTGACAACTTGTGTACCTTACACCTACATCAGCTGAACAATAGATATTAGGTAGTAACAGGCTTAATCCAATTCTCTGTACATTAGCAGAAGCCTTCGTTCAAAGCACTATGCTAGCCACAGACACCCACGAGTCTATTTCCTGAATTCTAGCTGGTTTCGTTTTGTTTTGAATTCCTGTCTTTGGGCTTTACAGTATTTATGCAAGGTCTGAGAAAGAAAATCTTCTGTGGGAGCCCACAGGAATCTACAGAAGGCTTCTGTTCCATGTGAATGAGGAGGTCTGACAGGAGCTCTGGGGTCCTGCCTACATATGTTTAAAATGCTTACATATTCTCCAGTTCTGCACCTTTTCATTCTAGCAATTAAGCTCAACAGCATATCCATCCATCCATTCAGTTTTCATCAGCTGAGCCCACAGAGATCTCTTCCTCCTTGGAAAGGAAGACAGACAGCACAGGAAACCGTCGTGATTGAACACAGAAAGGTTTTTATGAAGCCAAGGTGGGCAATGGCCATGATGACCCCAAGATAGGACATCATGCAAAACTACAAAGTTGTCTGAAAATCAATGAAATAAATCCACACACCTGGCGAATCATCAGCCACTTGTCCATACTCAAGAGAAATGGAGATTTTTGGCACAAGAAGTCAGTACAGACTTCATTTCGTGTCAGACAAGGCCAACAGTTTGAAGCACAGCAAGACTACGAACACACTCCATGTTCCCACACCACATAGCACAAGCCTGTAGCTTCAGCTCTCAGGAGGAGACAGGCACAGCGCTTGGGGAGTTCAAGCAGAAAGCGACAACTGTCTCAAAAGACATCAGTGAGCAGAGAGCTCAGAAAGCAAGAACCTGCCCTAAGACTAGGGCACATTTGCTATGCAATCCATCTTTCAAAATGTACCAGAAGATTTCAATAATCTCTGTAAAAGCATTAAATTTTTGTTTTAACAAACTACTACCAAGGCACGAGGCACTCTGTTACGGATTGAGCATTACACGGTAACAGGTTGCCTTCCCCAGATCAACAGTTGTGTTCTTCCAGCTACGTACCATGTCAGGAAATAACACGAACAGTAGTACTACATCCAACTTTGTCACCCTTATTAGCTTTAACACACACAAATATTCTGTTTGCTGTTTCTGGGTCACATGCTGTATCATGCAAGCCCTGCTGCAAATCCCTCACTTGGCCTCTTTGGATTCACAACTACTTGCTAACTTTCTTGATATCAGTAATGTGACACAAGCAAAGGTCCTCAAGGACCTAGTGGGTAATTAGAAGGTTATTAAAATTAAACAACAAAGAAAGCATTAAGAGAATTTACAAAATCTGTGCTAAAATGGGACCTAGATATGACAGAAGGTCACGAGAAATAAAAGGAGAAGGAAGAAAAGTATTGTGACAGATAAGGGCCTCTTTGCTGTAACTTCTCACAGAGTGCACCCAGAAGATAAAGAGGAAAAAAGAAATGTCGAAATAAAGCACAAATTCAACTGTGACAGGACCCGATAACAGTGTGCTTTATTCCAGACACTTTCGATATCGGATTTAACACCATACCTTGAATATTATAATCTTTCCTAATCCCATTTAGCCAAATCCTTATTTTTAAAGACCCAAATCCATGCTTGCTATTCCACCTACATCTGTGCTGCTCTACAAAACCATTCACTTCTCCCTTGTACATCACTCGAGTGCTTATTTTCATTTTTCAAAAACCCAAGCAGGCCTTCTTGTGCCTTCATGTTTAGATCATGGAACATAGCTTTTCTTATTTAAACACAGTCCTTTGATGTTATGAAAGCAACAACCGTCAGCTCAAAAAGAGAACTTGCTAAAAACAATCCCTTGAAATTTTGAAGTCTGCCACCTAGTGGGCTTTTAAAATATAATTTCAAATTAGAAGATACCCCTTAGGAACGTAGAAATTTCAGTTTTCAGATGCTTTGCCTTTTTTTTTTTTTTATGCTTTCCTTAGTTAGACTTAATCATTTACAAAACAAAAGACTACGTCAGAACCCCCTCAAATCTAAACATAAGTGCAACGAATCAGGCCTAGTTTTTCTAACATTTCTGCAATTGCGTACTTGAAATCCTAAAAGTGCGAGTAAGGCATACTCGAACACTGTGCCTCCTCATCAAAGAGGAGGATCTAAAATTTAAGATTCAAATCAATTTATAGGTGACTGACAGAAGCAGGAATTTGGAAACAAGGTTAACAGTGTCCAGAACTAATGGACATGGGATGTGATCCAAGTAACAGCACTGCTGTGAGAATCAGAAACCAGAAAACGTTACTCAGAAATTTGAGCAAATTGCTAAAATACCCCCAAACTGTGCTTTCATGATGACAGAAGAGCAGGTCACCACTGGAAGCTGGCTGAGCAATAAGGAGCAGGTATCACCCACCTCCAAAGTACACAGAGGTCTCTCCACAGAATGCACGGTTAATTTCCTAGCAGGAAATTGGTTGAAACAGCAATTTCACTATATTTCACTAGCATTTTACTTACAAAGTAAGTAAGAGCTGTAAAGGAATTTATTATGGATCAGTGCTTCATCAACATGAAGGGCTGAAGGATTTTTTTTTTTCCCCACATCTCCTTAGTATTAGCCAAGGCAAGTCTATGAAAAGCAGGAATTTCACTGAAGGTAAAGGTAATCACTGTACAGAAAGGAGGAATAAAGCAACTGCTTCATAGATTTTTAAAAGCATAAAGTACATAACATACATATACTCAAAAAATAATGAGCCAGTGCATGCAAATGCTGAACTTCCCAGTATAAGTATACAATTAAAAACTACCAGTGTGCTATTCATTTTGTACCCTGAATGAGCAAGAAGCCTTTAGTGGAGCATATATGCTGCCTCTGCATGCGATACGTTGCGTGGAATTTCAAACGAAAACCAGTCACGATAAACTGGAAGCAGAAATTACTTGTGTTAGGAGCTGTCCTCCTGTCACACAAAATATTCTCTTGGAAAACTGTTACGCAGTTGCAGAGGACAATACAAGATGTTCTCTATAAAGCAAAACCTCCACTCAGTCAAACAAAAAAGAACATGCTACAGGATAGTAGGAAGTTTCCTAGTGCTATATACAAAAAAAAAATGGTTGTAGCTTTGAAGAACCTTTTGAGACGTCCTGTTCACACAAGACTCACAACATTCCTCTTCATGTGAAGTAACACAGCAACTCACAGCTGCAAAGAATTGCTTCATAACACAAGCCACAGTCTCATGGCTGGTAGTAAATACTCTACTTCCATAGCAGGAACATCTCTCAAGCTTTAATAAATTACCAATTAGGTTCCAGCAGAAATACATGCACAACGGTGGAATTACAATTATTATATCTTTTATTTATTCAAATAAATAAAAAGGTAAAAGGCTGTGATCGACATTCTCTTTTAACATAGAGGTGTATCGATGCCGGAATTACAGAGAAAATTCCATAGGGAGAAGACAGGGCAAGTCATCTTGTGCAGAACAAGCCCCATGTTTACTTCTCTAAAAATGTACCCTTCTGTATTATGATCTACCTCTTTACAAGAAGTTAGTTGTTAGTTAGAAGATTTGTTTGCAAACTGTTTTGAAGAAGGGTCAAGTCATATCTGACCACCTCAAACACCTCAGCAATCCAGTAGTTAAAATTTATATATCACGCACTGTGATCGTGATCATGCTTAAACTGACAAGAGTTTAGTGCTAAAATTAGTAAATATTGATCATTTAAATTCAAAATACTGGTATTTTATGGTCTCCAATAATATCCTTTAATTAAATTGATGTTGTATTTTGTTATACCAGTTTATTGTAACAGTCTTAATTGTTCCCTAAGAACATTAAGCAAATATGATTCCTTTTCTCAAAGGAAGAAGAGGCTAAAATGAACTCAACAAAACTTTGAATAATAAGAATTGCCATACCACTCCACATTGCCATGTGACCTATTCAGAGCTGCAAAATTAATGGAAACGGTAAATCAACAATTATTTATAATAGAAAAAAAAATCCTTTATACAGCATGAAATACAGTTTATATATTTTCAAGTGAGACTGTTTACAAAGGATGCATTTTACACTGCACGTTTTTTGATGTTAAAGCATATACATACAGAGAAAAGTACAGCCACAACCAACACACTTAAATACCTGTACAGTATTTACATTTTAACATACTTTACACAACTCCAAACCATCAGTATTATTTAGCTAGACACATTTCAAAATGGGGTGTAAAATGCTCACAGTTAACAATGGAAATTCAGTGTAAACGCTGCTTTCAGTTGCTTAGTAGTTCAGGTCCAAGTGTTAACTTTGTTCCATGCCAGCCATCAGTGACAAAGCTAAGGATTCCACTGTGAAGTAAACCATAAAAAAAGTTAGTATTTGCAGTCTGCAAACATTCACTGCAATATTCAGCGTTGTAGTTTAAAAAGGAAGATACCAGCTTATTTTTAAAATTTTAACATTTCAGGATTTAAGATGGTAAGACGTTTAAAACTTTACAAATCTCTGACATTTCAGGCAACATATTGCCATTTTTGTTACCACCTCAAATAACTAATGGAAAACTGAAAAGAACTGTCAAGAAATGAGCTAACTGCCAAGAAATACTGATGTCTGTAAATAAAAAAATGAATAAAAGTTGGGGGGAGTTATGTGCAGTAAGCCATCCTCACGGACAGTTCTTACATACAAGCTCTTGTAGGCTAAACAGCGCTGATATAAGATATAAACCTCTCTTAGAAGCCCATCCTGCTTCCTTTTGTAAAGCACTGCTCTCAAAGAAGTAAGGTGAATATGTGTGTATATCCCAGCTAATTCCATTCAGAAGTTGTCCCCTTAACTCAAACTGGCATCAATTGGCAATTTAAGCTAATATCAGTATGCAAGTGGAAGCACAGCCACATCCTCCTCTGCTGTTTCTGTTTATGATGAAGCAACCTCCTACATGGATGGGCAGAGCCAAGGGATCTGGGCAGCTACACCTAAGTCATCATAATACTAAAACTTTATTTGTTTAAGATGTATCACAACTGTCACCCAGCAACATCAGAAAGAATGCTTTTATATGCTCTCCAGGTCTTGGTTTCATTTATTCATGTAGAAGACTGCCTGTTACTCTCTTGGCTACATCAGTCATTTTTTCCTCAAGCAAAGAGGTAAACTGAAGGTAGCTGTCATAGAAAATAAAGTATGGTACGCATACTCTAAGAATAATGATTGAATTTATTAAAAAGTAAGGCTTCACGCTTCCCTGAATATCTTTCACAAACTAAGTATTTTAAGATGTATGGACAAACAGATTAAAATATATTCATAATAAAGCTTGTGCCCCAACAAGTATAGGTTTATGAAAAGCCTCATGTACTTACAGTGAGGAAAAGAGCCTCGACAGACAGCTTTGTTGAGGACAGTTACAAGAAACATGTGACAGTTTTTAAAATCAGATTCCATCTTCTCTATGGATTCCATCCTACAAAACAGTTTAACAGAGGTACACTTAACAGCTGAACAACTGTTATCTGCAAAATATAACCACAACTTCCCAGTGAATGACCAGAGTGCTCTTTGCACAGCAATCTGCCTTGAACTCACGATATTTCAGTTATGTCTGTGTATAACACTTCGAGAAAACTCAGGCAATTTAGACAGGAGTGCCTGAGCGCTATCGCAATGGCATTAGGAATGATTTCTTTATCCCCCTAGAGATCTTTATGTTTACTAGGAGGAACTGTGTGGTTCCAACTGACAAGAACTACTATTCCTATGATTCACTGGAATTTCAGCACAGCCATCCCTGGTCCCTATTGCTTGGAGCAATATTCCCACTTTTCAAAAAACATTTAATGAAGTCAGCATCTGGCTGCCTACAACTTTAAACCACAGCTAGGAAACTCCATCATAAACCAAGCCCTTGAACCTCTCATTTTACCATTATGAGCAAACATGATTGAAAAGAAAACCCTTTGTTGCTATGCTCTACAATCTTTTCAAGACTTTACATTTAAAAGTTACGTATGAAGCACACTTTTAATTAGTAAATACTGAATATATACACTGACATCGGTGCACGAAACTTGCTATGTTCTATTTATTTTTCTATCTAAAATAAATTTCACTTTTTAAAAATAAACATCAATTAGCCTCTGGTATCTGTTAAGCTCTGGTATTAAACACTGAGCAAACTCTTGTTATTTCATGGGCAAAAAAAACTCAAAAGCACATTCTGAGCTGTGAAATCACGACCATGTAGAATTTTAGGTATGTATACTTACTTCCAAGCCCCCAAACCAGCCTGCCAACGGTCTGCAAACATCAGTACCAAATTTAACACTTTCATTATAGCTTCTTTCACAAAGCTAACCTAAAGTAACAATCAAACAAAAGGAACAGCAGTCAGAAATTCATTGTTAAGCATCATTTTCATTATTACGGATACAAAGGTATCCCATGCCATTTAATCTGATCTACAAAACACAGTCTCCTAGGTACATGGCGAGTCTTCACATTTAAGATGTGTTTTGTATTTGCTCTCTCATTCATTTCTGTGATTATTTCGATGAGGACTAGTACAGACAGCATGTGGAATAGAAGGCTACAGCCTTGAATCTCCATTTCCTACCACACCAACATATACAATCCTCGTTACGGTTCCAAGTCTCGGTTTGTTCAAATCCCAACATCTTTTCTCTCAAAACCAAGTAAATTAAGTGAAGCCCAGTGTAAAGAATTTCATTTTATCTTCTCTTCTCTCCTTCATAGAATTAGAGCTGAGACTTGCAAGAGAAACTGAATCACAGTGTTAACTCTGGATGAGCTACCATTTCCTTTAGGGGACCCATATACTGCTACATATGTATGAACTGCAAAACAGGCATCATAGTACTAAACCATTTTCTTGTCCTGCTAACCTCAATGCACCAAATATTCCATTTTTTTTACACACCTTTTCTCTCAGCAGGCAGCGATCATGGATTGTAGATAGGTATCTGTAATGAATCTTTATCAACTGATCTAAATCTTTGGCTTCTTCTACCTGGTGCTGAAACTCCAAGCCTGTACTGTGAAGAATCTTAAGGAGAAGACCACAGTTATTAAATTCAGTGTTCCACACAAGTGCTTACAACTCTCTTTTAAGACTTTTTTTCAAGAGGGGGGGAGAGAGAGAGAGAGAGAGAGAGAGAGAGAGAGAGAGAGAGAGAGAGAGAGAGAGAGCGCCTATAATTGCTCCATTCATTTGCTCTGCCCTTTCCAATTGCATCTTTCAGGCTCAACCTCCCTACCACCAACACAGTAAAAACTTCAAGCTCTTCTCACAACTCAGTGACATTCTTCACTTAAATAAGAACATTGTCACAGCAGAAAGGCAGGCATACTATCCCCGGAAGAGTTGATTTAGAGAATATTGATTTCATAAAAGATCAAAAAAGGCAATAGTAAAGCAGATATGAATCTAGAGGCATTACCTTTGTTTTTGAAAGGTTATACATACACATTTGGATCAGTACACTAGATATTTTTGGGAAGTATCAATTTAAATAAAAATGTCTTTCGGAATACTTTTGAAAGTATAATATCTCTTAAGAGATTTAACAGCTTAAAAAACATATTTTGACATGACTGCACGCTAGGAACATAACACTGGGAGAAACAACCAAAAAGAAAAGAACTAATTATATCAAAAGATTTGTCCGCATGAAGAACTTACAAAGTATTTTTAGAATTACGGATTTTAAATAGCCAAATAAATACTGATATATTTTTAAGTTCAAATCACTTTGTAGAATGGACATTAGAACACGATCTTGCTTTTTATTTGCACCTATTTGGTCTCAGTAGACAAAGAAAAAATAATACTGCATCTTCAGTTTCAAGTTCTTAGTATAAATGAAAATTAAGATGTAAGACAAACCCTTGTCATGATGTAGTTGTGCAGACTGTTAACAAAATGCATAAGTTTCACTCTTAAGAGGAACATGCGATGTATTTGTTGTTTTATACTTTCTGTTTGCATTCCAAATAGAGGAAGTGTTCCGTGTTCTAATAAGGTTCCTTCCTTAACCTGTGAGTTTTCTGCAGCACTGACTAGTTCTAAAAAGAAAATGCAAAAGTATTTAAATGAAGCATTTATGAAGACAAACTGTGGCTAAAATGTAACTTGAAACTAATTTTTATTTCTTATTATTCTGTGTGACACAATTTTTTTCTTGCAATTCAGGTGTTTTATTAAAATATAGCAGCAATATATTGAAATAGTTTGAAAATATATCCACCATGCAATTTGATAAATACTAGAATAGGAAGTGCTATTTAAAAGCTATTTATGTGAAAGGAAAAACAAACAACTATATTAAAAATAAACGTGCATACTATCTCCACAATGGGGAAAATACTAGAACAAAAATATATACATAAAGTTTAAGTTTAAACAACAGAAAACTTTCAGGAAAATAATTAGTTAACTGATGCACGAAACATAGATGAAGCATCAACTTTATAATTTGTTTTTCTAGACAAGAATTTTCTAGGACAAGAACTTATATGGGAAAGGAAAAGCATAATCCAGTGAAGGAAGACACCAAGATATCTCTTTTTACAACCCTCAAATATTTAAATTATAGCTTCAAGTATCTATTCCTGTCTAGCTTACTGTTTCAATCTCAGAGTATTTTTTTTTTTCATTTTGTTTCCTTAATTTGTTTGCAAGATATTACTGATAAAACTTGGGCTATAAATAAAGCAAAACACCAGGGTGTGGTGGACAGACCTTTCAACAGCAAAGTCTGAAGAATGAAGCAAGTTTCAATATAAACTAACCAGACCTGAACCACAGAGACAACAGGAATGCATGGATAAACGGTATCATCCCTGAGGCTGAAACAATGTGAAAAATATACCCTGCTTAATATATCTAATTTCTGAAACTAATATATCTAATTTCTGAAACTAATTCTGTATTTTACAGAATGAATCAAACTTCTAACTGGTTAATACTAGTTAAAACTGAAGAAGGCAGCAGACTATTTATACCCTTAGACCACAGAAAAAGTTTTTAGAGTATCTTTCACTGAAACAGTTTCTTACCATCAAATCGTAAAACATCTAGGCTATACTTGGCCCACTTTATTTGCAGCAAGAGCAGAAATACTTGATTGTAAATTTTTTGGCACTCTAAGCTTATAACTATATCCACAGGCCAAGGAACCTAAGAAGAGCAGAGGATAAGACAGAAAGACAAGGCAAAAAAAGGTAAGTCACTTTAACGCAACACTTCAGATCTGTTCTAGAATTAAAACCACTGCAATATTAATTTACTACACTTTACCTTATAACTTAATGTCAGGCCATCTAAGGTGTGGACAGGAAGTTTCTTCTTAGCTGTATCAACACTTTCAAATGATATAGACAACCTATGCAAAGAAAGAAGTGTTTTTATTGATGGTGATCTGTTTTAAATCACTGGCTACCTCCATCAGATATTTTTAATTTCTTATCATTAAATATCAATTGTCTAATTTAATTAGGTAGAGGTGTGTAGAAAGAAGGTTTAATGAAGCTCAAAGCTTCATTAAAACAGATGTTTGTAATGAATACACAATAATTAGCATTGACCTATGCAAGTGAAGTATTTTACTATGGGCAGATATGATAGAAACCATAACTAAAGTGTATTTTACAGGATTTTGCATTTTACCTTGAACTGTCCTCTGGATAACGTTGCCCTACCGCTTCTTGAAGTTGAACATTTAAGAAAGCAACATTCTGCCACGTTTCCTTTTCTCGTATTTTGTCAAAAATGGATGTATAGAAATCGTACATAGTATCACCAGCTTCAAGCAAGAAAAAGTTTCTCATTGCTTGCAAGTATTCTACAAGCCTAAACAGGGAAAGATACAACATTTTTGAAGGCTTAATCATACAAGCAAAATCAAATAGTTGCTACAGAACAAAACATTAGAACTCTTCATTGCAAAAATTCAGTATTGAAAAGAAATTCAATGAAATCCACACAAAATCCTATGCTTACCCCTCAGGCAGCCTTCAAGTACATTCAAATAAAACAAAATAATCATCCCATTATTTCTTATAAGTTTGAACAACACACTATCTTCAACAGAAGTGCTCATGGAGTTCAGCCTTCTTACAGGCTAGGCTATTCTCAAAGACAGCTTTAGCAATCCCATCCCTCTTTCTAAACAGAACTTAGGAAAGGAGATGCAATTTCAGGGAGAGTTCTGTGTAGTAAGGGACTTCAATATGGAGCTCCAAAAAGTGATCAAAGTGATTTTAACTACTTTATCAGAAACAAAGACTATAAAAATACATTAAGTCCTATAGGCAGATTAAAAGCACAGTGACTTCATTAAGTACTTTAGAGAGATTAAAAATCAGTGACTTATGATCACCTAAAATATAAAACGAATAGTCATTTTCACTTTATGTAGTAAAAAAAAAAAAGCAAAAACACAGTAATATTGTTTCGTATAATACAAATGTTATATTACTGCAATTGAATCTCATATTAAATAAATATATTCTGGCCTCCTAAAATTTGCCTTCCAGTTCCAAACAGCAACACTATTAAAAATACGATCTGAAACAACTTCTCTATTAAACAACCGCTCAAGACAAACAATGGTTTTGCTGTCGATTCAAGTTAGACCAAAGCTTCACTCACAACAATGTTAAATCTCCCTTTCTTATACGTAGGGCCGCTCCTTGATAGGGAAGGTCTCCTCACAGACAATGACATAGGCAAAGCAGAGACACTTAACGCCTTCTTTGCCTCTGTCTTGAATGCCGATGATGGGCTTCGGGACCCAGGGTGCCCTGAGCTAGAGGACCGGGACAGTGGGGATGACAAACTCCCAACTGACCCTGAACGTGTGCGGGATCTGCTACTCCACCTGGATCCCTACAAGTCCATGGGTCCGGATGGGATTCATCCCCAGGTACTGAAAGAGCTGGCGGACGTCATCGCGGAACCTCTCTCAATTATTTTTCAACGATCCTGGGAGTCTGGAGAGGTCCCGGTAGACTGGAAGCTGGCAAATGTTGTGCCGATTTTCAAGAAGGGTCAGAAAGAAGACCCTAGCAATTACAGGCCTGTCAGTCTCACATCAGTGCCTGGTAAAATCATGGAGAAGATGGTTCTCGAACTTATTGAGGCGCACCTGGGGGACAAAGCAGTCATTGGTCCCAGCCAGCATGGGTTTGTGAAGGGTAGGTCCTGCCTAACTAACCTGATTTCCTTTTATGATAAGATCACCCGTATGGTGGACCAAGGGAAACCAGCTGATGTGATTTTTTTGGATTTCAGCAAGGCTTTTGACACGGTTTCCCATAGGATCCTACTGGACAAAATGTCCACCATACAGCTAAATAAAAACATCATACGATGGGTGAGCAATTGGCTAACGGGCAGGGCCCAAAGGGTTATGGTGAATGGCGCTGCGTCAGGCTGGCAGGCGGTCACTAGTGGGGTCCCTCAAGGCTCCATTTTAGGGCCGGTACTTTTCAATATTTTTATAAACGATCTGGATGTAGGAATAGAAGGTATTTTGAGCAAGTTTGCTGATGACACCAAACTTGGAGGAGTTGTGGACTCTGTTGAGGGTGGAAAGGCCTTGCAGAGGGATCTGGATAGGTTGGAGAGCTGGGCGATCGCCAACCGCATGAAGTTCAATAAGAGCAAGTGCCGGGTCCTGCACCTGGGACGGGGAAACCCTGGCTGCACATACAGACTGTGCGATGAGACGCTGGAGAGCAGCCTAGAAGAGAGGGATCTGGGGGTCGTGGTAGACAGCAAGTTGAATATGAGCCGGCAGTGTGCCCTGGCAGCCAGGAGGGCCAACCGTGTCCTGGGGTGCATCAAGCAGGGCATCGCTAGTAGGTCGAGGGAGGTGATTGTCCCGCTCTACTCTGCGCTGGTGCGGCCTCACCTCGAGTACTGTGTGCAGTTCTGGGCACCACAGTATAAAAAGGACATGAAACTGTTGGAGAGTGTCCAGAGGAGGGCTACGAAGATGGTGAAAGGCCTGGAGGGGAAGACGTACGAGGAACGGCTGAGGGCACTGGGCCTGTTCAGCCTGGAGAAGAGGAGGCTGAGGGGAGACCTCATCGCAGTCTACAACTTCCTCGTAAGGGGGTGTCGAGAGGCAGGAGACCTTTTCTCCATTAACACCAGCGACAGGACCCGCGGGAACGGGGTTAAGCTGAGGCAGGGGAAGTTTAGGTTTGACATCAGGAGGGGGTTCTTCACAGAGAGAGTGGTTGCACACTGGAACAGGCTCCCCAGGGAAGTGGTCACTGCACCGAGCCTGACTGAATTTAAGAAGAGATTGGACTGTGCACTTAGTCACATGGTCTGAACTTTTGGGTAGACCTGTGCGGTGTCAAGAGTTGGACTTGATGATCCTTAAGGGTCCCTTCCAACTCAGGATATTCTATGATTCTATGATTCTTTGTTAATGATTTTCTTGGTAATTAACAAATTGCAGAAGAAATACAACACACTTTGAGGCTTTTCAATCAAAATCTTTAAAATAAGAATTATGTTTTTGGTATGTAGCATATCACTGGTAAATAGAAATGGTGAGGGAAACTGATTTACTTTCTTACCTATAATCCTTCTTTACTTTCTTACCTATAATCCTTCTTTAAAGTTTGCATCAGATTACCACAGCATTCCAGGTACTGCTTGTCTATGTGAGGATAAAGGCAAGACCTCAAAGTCAACTCAAAGGTCTGGCAGGTGACCGATTCCGAGGATCTATCCACACAAACGTCCCCACCAGTAAACTTCTCGTGGAAGTCGCTCTGTTCCAAATATAATCTTCAAAATAAACACACTACTTAGGGAAGAAGGCACATAATTCCTACAATATATAAAAATGTCATACCTTTGAAAATCTTACTCGAAATTGGAGCTTCTACTCTACAAAAAAATACTGCAGAATAAAAGCTGGTTTGTAACTGTTAATTGCAACTGTTATATTAAAAGATTACAGTTATATAGCTATATAATTATATAATATTACAGTTACGTGAGATAGTGATATTATAACTAAGCCATTTCTAGTTAGTTTCAACACATAATGACCAGGCATAAGAGCATGAAAAAGAACAGTGCACTGTAATCACAAAGGAATAAATAATAATCAAACACTGAAATAACAACATCAGGTTCAAACAGATTAATAAACCCTTTATCATTATCAACTTTTTAAATTATGTTACGCATATGGAGTAGCCAGACGAACTGCCAGGTAAAGAAAAAAAGGCACAAATCCAGATTTTGCCTGAGACACCTTAAATATGGGATACTTGTATTATCTTTAATATTATTCCATGGGAAGAGTGCGTCTGTGGGCAGCCTACATCCAGTAAGTAGAGTTATTTTGTCACAGAAAAAAAAAATTATAACAATTTTTGAAAATCTGCTCAGTAGCTGAATCAACTGTAAGAGGAAGCCTGCTTCATTGCAGATACCGACTGGATGAGTCAGACATTGAAATAAACTTACTGTCAATTTTAACAACCAGATTAGTCCCAATGAACAAGAGAAGTAATAGAGTCTTATCTACTCTTAATTATGATTTCTTTAAAACAAACTCCTTCTAAGACTGAACTGAAAGCACGTGATTGATAGCTGGTATTCAGCAAATCCATAAATAGCTATTTCTTATTTGCAATGACAAAAAGGAAAGATGTTTAGAGTTAGCCTTTCCTGCTAATTCTCAAGACATCTTTAATCTGTGTGACTTCCCTCTTTATGAAGAATAACAATGTTTATGCAGTAAACAAGAATTTTGCAAGGCTTTTAAATTTTCTAACACCACAAAGCTGCATTTTTCAAAGAATACACACCAAGTATTTTGAAGACAAATTTCAAGCAAGCACATTTGAAGTTTAGATTTCATAGCTGCATTCACTACTAAAACACTTATCTGTGTGCTAAAAAGGTTATGAAAAAGATTATTCCCTCTCTATGCTAACAGACGTCAATAGGAGATTCCTCACTGATTTTAATTGTTTTTCTTTAACTAAGCACACGTGTAGTGTTTATTTAGACTCTGCCACTGATTATCAGCATTCTTTACTGTGCTTGCTTTTTTACTGCAGCAGCAATAAAAATTTGGGTTTACCAAATATCACTAAGTAGAACACTGCTCTCAACAACACCGCAGGAAGATCCTTCTTAGCAAGTGGTTGTTTACTTACCTAGCAAAATTAATAGCCAGCAGTGGGTCATGGACATCATCCAGTTCCAAGTGTCTTTCTGCTATAGATTGCATCTTTATCAGGCTCTGCTTTGTGGCCTGCTGTTCTGTAATAATATCTGGAACAGACTCTTCCCCATGCCGCAGGCGAGACTGCACTGATTCCAAGAACAGCGTATACAAACTCTTTCTTTCAGCATCTAAATTGGGCAACACATTTCATGGTGAGACTGTATTCTAGAAGATAACAGCACCACCACTCAAGAAGAACTGTGGAATCTAGTATTTTCTCGATATATTTTAGCAAACTACCTTTTGGCCGCTATTCGAGAAAGTACTCAAGTACATAGTTAGAACCAAGTATTGCCAAATCAGGAGGTCTAATGCTTAAAGTCAGGTATAAGTTCAAATGCATTGCTGATCAGAGACTGTCAGAGAACTTCTTCCTCCAAGCACAAAGGCAATTAATTCTTAGCACCTAAACTGCCCTGCAGCCTTCCCCGAGAAAAAATTACATTCTCACATCAAAGGGGGGAAACGAGCCTAGAGATTCCAAAACAATTCAATTATTTCTATTAAACTTACAGAAACTGAGTAAGCAAAAAATGTATTTTGACTCTTCTGAAAAAGCAACATCGGTTATACTGCTGTGTTCTTTTACAATCATTCAAAAAATTCCTAAATATAAAAACCTATAAAAATGTCAATATATCTTTCTTCTAATTATTAGTATGCTGCTTTTTTTAAAGAAGTTGCATGTGCTATCTCAGAATTATTCAATCACTTAGTAATGAAAAGCAACTACTTATTAAACCAAAACAGTTTTACTGTTGGAACACAAAAACTGTTTTTGTCTGTCTCATAACAAATTAAATGTGCTTTGAAAGCATATGAAAACAAGCTTAAGAAAGCAATATTGGAAGCCATAAAAAGGGAAGGGAATGCTCAATCTTCGTTTGCTTTGTTCTTGTTACTTGTTTGCCCTGGAAGATGGTTTTCAATTAGACGTGAAGTTACAAACCATGATACTGACACATAACAAGGACAGTTACATTATTCTAAAGCTGCAGAAAAACAGTTACATAGAATACACCCATCCTATTCGATACCCTACAGCATGGTATTTGACAAAGTGCCACCTCACCCCTCGATGCAGCCTGCTGCGGAGAGCCATCTTTGCATTGAAGATTCTTCAACAGCTGCATGGATTTTCCAGCCATGATGATTTGCTTCAGCACAGGTTTCAGAAAAGAGACCATAGTGTGTTGCCTGCTTGAAGGGGCTTGGTCACTGCCAGAACTGGCACTGGCATTATCACTCATCTTCTCTTCATTCTCTGTCTTTTCTGACACACTATATAATGTGTACGTAGCATACCAAAAATCCCTATGATTAACTGGAACATTTTTGTTTCTGCAAAGAAATAAAAAGCTGTTGAATATTTCCTTTTAAAAAAGATGAATATACATACAAGTAAGTTTCATCTTTGCTCTATACTTTGCCCTTCTTTTAGGGTAATCAGGAAGCACATCCATAGCATATAAAATAAGTTCATATCATAAACTATCCAGACACTTCTAGAAAGGCTTATAGCTTTAACGGAATAAAGAATCAATTCACAGCAGATTAAAAAAAAAACAACAAAAAACACAACACACCTAACTAACCAAATCCCCTAAACAAGGCAGATAATTATAATTAAATTTGTGTGGGAAATTAATTATCCACAGTGCTACGCATAACAATTACTAGTGACTGACAGGCAGATTTATTTAGTACATAAAACCCACAGAGAAGCAAGTAGTACTAGGAATGCTGAAATATTCCAGAGTAGGTGAAACTCAATTCTTAGTCCACTTTGCTCTTTTGTGCTGTTTATGTATCACATGCACAGTTTAGTCTTTGAAGTTACTTGGAAAGTAACCGAAATCATGTAATTAAAAGCAAAGCTCAAATATAAGTAGGATTTGAAATCACCCATTATTAGTTATGAAAATACAACTATAGAATGACAGAAAGAAAAGTCAAGTAGGATGCAATAAGGTTTTTTGAGTTCTCAACTACTACGGATTTCTTCATAATAATGAATTATTGAAAAATTAAAATAATTTCTATTCCAGAACAATACCTGGTATGGATCAAAATCTAAGGTAATTTCCCTAATGGGAAATCTGAAGCAATCCATAATAGAATGATTAAGAAACAAATTCTACTCAAGTGAAATAATAAACATGAAACCCTATTTTTACTGTCCCCATTTACTTCCTAGGCTCTACAGCAGGTTTTGTATTCATACTTGCACAGCATTAGGTGGGTCCAGTATCAGTATCCCTACCTCTGAATGATAAATTCCTTTGCAGGATCAAACAAATTACCATGGACTATCCATTCATCCACTGTCTGTAAGTAGGGCCTCACAGTCTCAACCCAGAGAGAGAACAGAAGGGACACCTGAATTTAAAGGAAAAAGAAGAAAGTAGCTGAATGTTTTTTTTAGTATTACAAGCAATAAGGCAAAGTCTAACCTGTTAGTTGTGCTATCCTAAGTTTATAAGAAATACGTAAGTATCCTTAAAGATTTTTAAAGATAAAATATTGTACTAAAAATTACAGCTTTAGCACTCTTGATGGCAGCACTGATTGTGCAAGGTTCCCCATATGCCTTTTGTCATTAGGATTAGACCCGAACAGCAACTTTCATTATTTTCACTCTTACATCCCTTATGCTGTAACTGATAGTCACAAAACATGTTGTGGTTTTGTAACGCAGAAAACAGGAAAACGAAAGTACACAATGGTATCTACTACATTTTCACTAGTATAATCAGCAAGTTAATGTAAAACCCAAACCCTACATTTCAACACTAACTGAATTATGCACCTGTAGAAATAACACAAGGGGAAAGCTACTCCAAAGCTCCTTCTTTTGTAACAGCTCTCTAGCCTCTGATTCCCCATAGTTGCTCCCCTCAGTCCCCAGAACACACTGCTGCTCATCTCCTCATAAATCTTACTTTGTCCAGGTTGAATGAACTCTTCTCAGAGAACAGTAATTTATTATGACTACCAAATCTGCCCCCTACCCCCAGTAGCTGTAAGCTAGCAAACTCACACCCCAGAAAGAAATTTAAGATATCAAATATTCTAGCATGAGAAAATGATTTCCCCTACCGTTTGCTCAGATGCTTCTCCAACACTGTCATATTCCAGAATAGCTTTGTAGAGAGTATTAAGCAGATGGGACGCTCGTACAACATTTCTAGTGTCGGGTGGAACTTCTGCTACTCCTGTGCTAAAAACTTTGTGAAGTACCTTTAGTTGTGCCAGCCGGGGAGACAGCTTATCTATCACTATTGAAAGTGTGACTGTTTTGTCTGAGGGGAGGAAGAAAAGAAAATGTATAAAGGCACATCCAGCAGAAAATCATATTCTGGCAATGCTATTCATGAGCTTTTAAAATGCAGCATAGCATCTTCCACAGTTTCAAAACGTATTTGCATAATGTTTTGTGCGCTTCCCTCTTATAAAATGTACTTGTGTGCCTATTTCCTATGCACTGTACCTTTGTTGATGATGCATTTTTCAATTTCGGTAAGTTCTTCTTTAAAGCTAATGAAATATTTATATAATGCCCACATAAAAGCTTGGTAGGTTCTGAATGGGGCTTCAGTAGTTTTCTTTGGAGTGGAAACAGTTCCATGCATTACATTTTCCGGGCTGTGTCCCATCACTTCATCAATAAACTTCTGTAGTCTGAACACAACTTGACCATATGCTGCTATCTGCTCCAGTACAGACCTTAGGCAATTCTAGAAAAAAAATGTATTTTTCAGAATCACCTAATAATAAATTGTATTTTATAAAGCATAACAATTAAATCCCAAGATATTTCTATGAATTAAAATATAATGAAATTTTGCCATCTCTATCAATTTATCACATTTTCACATACTGGAACAGCTCATTCTGTTTTATTAAGTCAGGCACGTTTTGACTAAATTAAGAACAATTACAGAAACATCATTTTTCCACAAGCAGTTTAGTTTCCTATTCCCCAAAAATTGCATCTTCCTATTGACAGATACTCAGCTGAGATTCAGGAACAACTTACATGGGTTAAATGAGTTACAATAATATCGTTGCGCACAGCCACTTTGCCATCATTCAATTGAAATATGAAAAGCTTTTTCACTCCTGAAAGTAGCCTTGAAAAGAAATGAAAAGAGTAATGCTTTTTCACCCCTTAATGGACTCAATTATATAATTAATAACAGGATTAGCTCTCCCTACCATTTCCTTTTTTCAAATGAAAGGGGACCACAGATCCACTACAATGCTACCGGTGCTCTAAGTTGTTGCTACAAGAACAATAAAACACTGACACCAGGCAAGCATAACCTAAAATTCCTTTCCAGCTGAGGTATTTTTCAATAATGGGATGAGTCAAACCTACTTTGTAAAAAATGGACACAGTACTAAAATCCCTATGGGCAGGACAAGAACAAGTTGGTTCTTAACAGTTAGACTTGAGGAATCAGAAGATACAAGAAGCAGTAAGCTACTTTCTTCTTTGTGAACCTGAATGGCTAGATAAATGCTAGCAGCATTTTTTCTTGTCAGCAACACTGGAAGCTAAACACTCAGTAATAATTCTTTCATCAGGTAAAACTTCAAAGATTAATCTGTTATTTCCTTGAATGAGGATAGTCAAGCACTAGAAATTAAAATGCAGGTTTTGATGCTGCTCTTACCAAAGAGTTTCCCGTATAACCTGAGTTTCAGTGACTAGTGTTCTCTCTTCTGGCACATACAAAGGATCGCTGGCGTACAAGTGGTGGTCCCTTGTAAAACATGAAATGAAAGTGATTTAAGGGTGAAATTACAGATGAATAATCTGAAAGTAAGGATGAAGCAATATTATTAAGGCTCGGTCCTGCTGTAATTATATCTGGGTAGACACGATGCTCATGCAGACATTTTAAGTATACAAACTACATTTTTTTTGTCATACCATTAAGCAAAATACTATGGAAAACACTCAAATACCATGTACATAACAAGACAAACAATTAAGCAAATACCCAAATTATTGAATCCGAGTTTTTGGGGGTATGCTTTTTTTGTTTGTTTTGTTTTTTATTCTTGACCTGTGACTACTTACTATTTCCTTCTCAATGCCAGGAAAAGTTATGGAGTTAACTCTTTCTGTTCAAAGTACTAAGCTAAAAAGTAAAATACCAATTTCTCTAACCCATATCACAAAGTTCATACTTTTTCCGAAAAGTTTGCTTAAGGACTGGAAGCTTTCACAAGCAACTAAGAACTTTTTCCTATGATCCCGTGTTGCACAGTTCTTCCAAAATACTTTTCACATTTTAGTAAAGTATGCAATAATTATTTGCATCTGTAGTATTTTGAGTCGTTAATATTATCAATGGCAATATTTATGTAATCATGTTAAAAATTCAATAATCCAGATTAATACTGTTTATTTATCACACATCCGCTAACAGAACTTCATAAGAGACGTAGTATTGCTTTATTTATGTTACTGTTTTCCTAATATTAACTGTAAACTTTGGTTTGTAACTGGCAATATAACTGACACTAAAATAAATTTAACTTCTTGATTATGAGATTAATTAAATTAAGGAACCAAAGACAAACCTAATGGTCTGTATTCATGCAGTACTGATCCTTCAGAATTTGGAGGAAAGATGATCAGGCATTAGTTTTTGTTTTTGTTTGTTTAATTAAACAACCTTCTCATTTTCTTTCCAACACCACAGAGGATGTTGGAATGTTTTTTCCCCCATAAAATCACTGTTTAAGATTATCCTTTTAAGCAAGATACCAAAAATAAACCAAAAGTTAAATTTTAGGGAATTCGTAATTTCCAGGACCACTTACAACCCACTTACATTAGTTCCACAGAGACCTTCAGAAGGGTCCACCCAAACAAAATTCCAACAGTAACATCTGCTTCTTTGAAAAAGGAAAACTCTCTTTCTTATAATGACAAAAGTAATAAAAACTACATACAAGGAAAATAAATTATTAAAAAAAAAAAGCTTGTTTATCTTATTAATTTGTAACCTTTTAACTGAATTCTGTTTTTCCCTAAATCAGTAGAAACTATACTACCTTTTCACTTTAACAGTCAAGATGCTTCATAAAGTCATTATTTAAAATTATATGCCAGTAAGGAATATGTAGGTGGTATTGTTTTCTTACCAGACCGCAGCCAGGTTGGAATGCAAGTGCAAACTATGTGAAAAACGAGGAGCTCTTCCGGTCCAGTACTGAGGAACTACATGCTGTTCCAGCCAGCTGCGGGCATCAGGTTCACCGACTGTGAAAACATTGGATAGTGAGTGGGGTATTTCTATTTGTTTGAGAAATGCTTATAAAAACACAGGAGAAGTTATTAATAAGCCTATGCACTCAGCTGCAGAAACACAGATCTTTTGAAATAAATCACAAATTACAGCTACTTCTCTGTGCTCACTTGCATGATACCATCATGCAGAAGTTATGTGACACAGAGACACAGACATATCTTATCTCCCGAAAGTTAAGGAGAAGTCCTAGAAAATAAACTCAGACATTTATATAGTTTTCAATCCTTTGTCACAGAATGTGCTTCAGGCAATTGTTAAACAATGTATACAAAACTTAAGCTGACTTAAACATAAGCTGACTTAAAAAAATAAAGTGCCAAATATTTTTAGCTTTTTCTCTTTGTTCCTTCTTACTATTCATTGAGTACATTACCTAAAAATGTTTTTCTCTTAAATGTGATTATCAAGAAAACTATACCTAACCCTAGTTAGATAGCTACTGATTATAAGCCTTATGAATATTACAGTCTATTTATACAAGGTATTTTGTGTGCTAAATTATTCTATGCAAAAATATACAGCTACAGTTAATATTGCCTGAAGCTATTCAAGAGTAAGCCAACTGGTGTTTGAATGACAGAACTGATTTTTCAAAAAATGTTTCATATCTACAACTGAGTCAACTGTCTGTTGTCAATCACATTATTTCAGTATTCTGATACTTTAAAATAAAAAAAATACATTATATCCGTAAAACTGCATGTTACATTTACTGTGTAAGTTCTCATTTCTATCTTAGAATATTTGTGTATATTTCCACACAAATAAGCAGAAGCCCTCTCCATTAGTATCAACAGAAATCAAATCAAGCCTTCCATGTTGTTACTTTACTGTTAAAAATTAAACAAGTGGCAGTGCCAGTAAGGTGCATCTTTAAATTACAATTCTAGGTCTAACAGTAGCTCAACGAAATAATAAAAAAGTAGCATTAGCTTGTTAAATTTGAGCACATATGATTGTAAGAACTACAGTTTAATCTAACCTTTCCAGGAAACATTAGGTACTGTTTTCTTGTTTGGATCTTGGTCTTCTAAAGGTGTCCTGTCCACTTGAATACCCGAGTCCTCCCTACTCAAAGGCTGAGTATCTTCCTCCTCTTCACTTTCTCCAGACCAATCCTAGCAAGTGTAACAAAACCCAGTATAATAGGCAGATCTATATTCAGTTTCTATTGATCTGTGAAGCTGAACATAACCTATTATTTGTTTTCACTATAAAGCCAATTCACAACACTAAAACTAACGTAACTGTCTCCCAGAGTTTAAGTGGTTTAAGTTATATTAACAATAAGGCTGCATGTCTGAGGTGGAAGAAGCATTTGTTTTTATCTGCAAGGAAATCAAACACAATTGGTCTTAGGTATAGCATAAAGCACATGCTACTGAATTTATGCAACATATTCCACGTGCCCACAATCACACAAGAGAAGGCTCCGACAACGCTGCTGTGCTGTTCAAAGTTATCAGGAGAACGTCTCCTGAGACTCAAAAATGTGACATCAACTCCTGAACTTCCTCTACTCCCTACTTAGTGCCATACTGGTTACTTCTCACAATATTGGTAAGCTTCTAAATTCCAGAAGCCTATGTTACCATGATCAGGGAAATCCACATATATTCTATTAATTTCAGCTAGTACTGCGAAATTATTACTTGAGAATCTGCTGTTGTCCTGATCTCCTCTTGTCATAATACATCCTATGTTGGTGCTAAAACATTGTCATACCCCTCCATACCAGGGACAGCATCTGGTTAAGCCTTGCAATTGCCTGTTAATTAGGAGAGAGGTCAGAAGAATACACTGGCTGCCAAAGGAAAGCTTTTTTTTTTTTTTCCTCCAAAAAACCTTTCAGGGGAATTGGAGCTTGAGAGTGGAAGCACGTTTAACTGCAGAACTACAGGAAGTTCTGATTAGGAGCAGGCAGAAGGGTCAGCAGAAAGGGCCAGCTTAGTTGCTGAACTAAGTCAGAACAGGGTCAAGAACAAAAGCATTTGCATTATTGATACTCTGCTTGAGTCTGTGTGTATTTCACGGTATTAAGTTAGAAGCAGCACAGTAGGGAATCCTGTGAGAATTGATCTAACATAGCACAGAAGCCAGGGCAACTCAACCAAATACATTAAAACAGTTTATACGCTTACTTTTTTTTTACCTTAAGAAATTACTTACCGGTGAATCCGCACCTGGGCCAAGGTAAATTTCTTCTCCTTCCAACAAATACTTTCCCCAATCAAATTCTTCTTCCTTTTCTAGAAGTACAAATAAGAAAAATATTAAGTATCACATAACTCTGTCTTCTTTAAAAACATTTCCAAAGTTATAATTACCTTTTTACTCTAAAACAAAAGGCATTCCCATCCATTTCAGGTTACACCACCACTCCTTTAACAAGGTTATACACTTTCAACGCAACACACAAACTGTGGTAATGACCACGTATATTCTTTATTTATTCATTCTCAATTCTTTTGTTTGTACACTCAAAATATGCAGCAAAGCGTCCCACCAGCATATTTATCTCTACTACATACACTACCCTACACTTCATTCCTGGAAAAACATGCAAGGATGCAACATATTACTTATTGTAACTCATCTCATTTAGCTTGGCAGAGACATTCTGAATTTGTAATTTGCCGATGCACAAGCATACTGGACTGTAACCAACAATAAAGCAAGGGTCATCTTACTCTCCGAAAAAAAAAAAAGACACCACATATCAATGACGTGATGTGTAATACTTTAAAAAATAACAAGTCACACTTACAATATATTATCTGAAACATGAAGCTTACTCAACTGTAATTAGTGCTGTTTGAGATAACCTCTTCATATTCACATTCCTGGAAGGGGCTGAAAGTGCATTCAAAACACCGCCGAGGGAATGTGCAGAGATCATTCAAAAAGGAATCTTAAGATGCAAGATTTTCTTTAGGTTAGTCTGAAATATTCTTCTTTCGGTCTATGATACAACACTGTAAACAAATGGGGGATGGTATCCACTCACACTTAAGCACAAGCCTCATTTTTAGGCACTGAGTGAAACAGTCCTACTCTGGAATGCAGGCAACTGGGATCTCCCTCTGGAAACCTTCCAAGGCATTTAGCTTTCCTTGACTACATTGGGAACATAGGAATTTATATTACCAGAGCTGTTTCAACAGACCTCCTATTAAGGTGCAAGACAGAGACTGAGGACAGAAACCAGTTGTCTGCCTTTGAGTGTGTAAGCTGCTGAATAGGTAGAGAACATTAGTAAGTGACAGCAGTACAAGGCAGAAACAGTTCCCAAGGTGCTTTCCTGACTGGAAAGCTTAATTATGCAATGTAACATAAATGGGGTAGGAAAGGCTATTTGCAGGCTACATAAAATGTATAAATCATAAAAAAGACAATCAATAATGCATCTCGATGTGAAGGAGATAATAAAATGGAGAGGAAAAATGGCCTTCTTATCAGACTGCATTAATTGAGCGTATCTTTAACTAGCAACACAAAAAAAGCTGTAAACTTACCTGTCTCTTTTTGTCTTGGTTTTTCCACATAGGTGGTGTTGGATGGAGAATCAGACAAACACAACAGAAGAGACAGTATGGAATAGTGTGTATCTGTCTTTAAAACACATTAAAAAAAAAAACAAGTCAATAAGAGGACTAAATGATTTTGGTTAGGAACAAATTCAGCCTATTATCTGTAGGAATGCTCTGCATTAATTCCTGCGGAGACTGGCGTTATGATCTATTTCCTGATACCTGCTTAGAGCACAACCACTGCTATCAGAAGTGAGGTTTTTTTCTTTGGCCTTATTCTGACTTTCCACAGCTCTTCAGCAGACTATTTCAAATGGTCAACAGCCAGATAGATTTCTGCTATCTACCTCCTTTAAGAAAATAACTTTTTCAAGTCTTACAATACTTGGAACATTCAAGTATAAAGTGCTTGTGCGGGCTTTTAATTTTATTTGACTCTCAAAACAAGAACAACTAAAGGTACTTACTTAAAAATCTAGAGTACATACAGTACAATAAGTCAAGATACGTGTACGTTATTGAGGGCTCAAGAGCTGAAGAAACTTCCAGTTTTCAAAGGCCAAATTCATTATTAAACTATCGCACTAGAAAATGTCCAAGTGAGACAACTTTCACCATTTCCATCCAGACCGCATCCTAAACAGATTTGAAGCGAAGTGTACCAAAGGCAAAATACACACATGGTCTCAACAAAGAAGCTATGGGACAGGAACACTCCATTTGGGAGTACTAAAACCAAAAATTGCAGTCTTGTTACTTAAGTGCAAGAACTTCTGTTCAGCTACTGTTTTAGAACAGACCGGAATTCAGCTGCAACACCTGTATAATGTTGACTGCTAAATGTCTGCTCTGCAGCAAAAAGATTACCTTTAAGTCATCCAACTGTGCATGCTGAAACCCTGAAAAAACAATAAACCTATTTCTAAAACAAATGGGAAAACTACAACCCTGCAAATCCATAACTTGAACAGCAACTGCAAACCTCACTGTTTAGCCACCAAAAATTTCCAACTCAACATTACAACACAAGCCCGCTTTATGAGTGTAAACGCAAGGGTGGTGGAAAAAAGAAGGAAACTGAGGCATACATACTTTTGTTTCTTCAACATTTGGGAGTGGTGAGTTCAGAAACTTTTCTGTTAGTCTCTTCCAGCTTGCAGCTTTTCCAAGGTCAGAATGAACTATCAATTTTTCATGTATTCTAATGAAAAAAAAGTTTCAATAACACTTCAAGAAAGTTAACTCCTTGATTATTAGTCCATAAACATGAAACTCACCCTTCTATTGTTCTCTCTACTTTATGACTGTTCACATCCAGAAAACGGTGAAACCTGTGTAAGAAATCTGTATCAGAATAAGTTTGAAAAGGCAACTTATGTAAGGAAGAAAATAAAGCTGATTTACATACATGATGACAACTTCATTTTCTTAATATATTTTCCTTTTAATAAAGCATGCTTAGTTCTGCAACGTCATTAAACATCAACAGAATTTAATCTCCGCGCCTCTGATCTCAGCAAGGATTAACTACAATTGACCTTAAAGATGGAAAAATTGAATGCAGATTATGGTTAAGCAGCAATTTCAACTGAATGGAAAATTACTGCTGTAACAGCAAAGCAAGCAATTAAAATGTGTCGTCAGTTAAGTCAAGCAGAACAAGGAGATGAAGAACGCTATTGTCAAAGGCATCTGTGTCAAACACACAAAAATCATCTGGGACTTGCACCACCAGCACAGGCAGCACATCCACAAGGGAAGGCCTGTAAAACCCAAAAGAAGTTCCCTTAAAAATGGCAAAGGAGGGTGCCTAAAAGAAAAGAGAGCCTGATCAATACACAGGAAGGTAAAACAAAGGTATGTGAATTAAAAAATAAATAACTTGTAAAAGGCACAATAGACTTTGAAAAAGAAATTAAAATAGGAGTAAGTTTATTTGTGTATATATATATATATGTTATATAGACAGAGAAACCATGAAGTGGGACTTGACAGCAGTGAGCACAAGGTACCCAATACACAGGCCCTCGAACCCAGCCTAATATTCTGCCTCAGTTTCCATCAACAATGGGAACAAAACCAGTGAGAGAACTCGTATGGCGGCAGAGAGAAATGAAAACTAACTGCATCTGAGTCAGGGGGGTGAAAGTCAAGTTCAACAGCCTGAATTTAGACAGACAACCCAGAATCACCTCCAAGCGTCACAGCAACGCACTGGAAAACGAAACTGCAGGCCTGGCAGCGAGGATTTTAGCAAGCATGTGATGCTTCTGTAGCAAGGAAGCACTGCATGTGATGTTAGGATACGTTACAGCAAATATTTGTGGTGAGTAAGAAGAAGCTGTGGCAGACAGCAGGGACAGCACCAGCCCTGCCCTCCCCCTCCCCTCCCCTCCTGTCCCTCCCCAGCGGCTCGGGGCGGACCTGAAGTTGGACCACGCGAAATCCAGCGCCGTCTGGAACCGCTCCAGCTCCGTCTCCGCCTCCTGCTCGGTCCCCGTGTCCCGCGGCGGCTCCTTGCCGCCGTGCAGCCCGGTGATGCTGCGCACCAGGGCGCGGACAGCCCGCTCCTGCTCCTGCTCGAAGCGGCTGCGGCGGCCGGGCGAGGCGGGGGCCGCCATGGCGGCGGCTGAGGGGATGAGAAGGGGGGGGGGGCGGGAAGCGCCTGCGGGAGGCGCCACAGAGCCGCCCGCAGCGCCTCTCGCGAGATTTCGCGGCGACTTCTCGCGAGAGCTCTCCCTGTCCCTCAGGGTGAGGCGGGAGGGGGAAGCTGCCCTCGGTGGGGCGCGGGTTCGCGGCCCCTGTCCACCGTTATGGCGGCGGGGTGCTCGCTGGGATTTTGTCTCTTTTGCTCCTCTTTCGTGGTGAAGAAAAAGAGCCTTGCTCTTCACCACGGAAGCATTTAAAACGGCACAACCAATGGGGGTTCCAAGTGATCAAATCAGCAGCACAAAAATGTCCTTTTTAAAATAAATGGTGTCACACTTGTTAAATTCTGTTGCTATGCTTTGTGTATTTTTTAAAGGGAGTTTCTTTCTAAGGCCTTTCTTCTGTAAAAACACAATAGTCTGTATAATTTCATATTCCTAACAACAGTAAAATTGAATCATTAAGGTTGGAAAAGCCCTCCAAGATCATCTGGTCTGATCACCCCCCACCACCACCACTGTCACCCACTAACCCATGTCCCCAAGCACCACGTCCAACCTCTCCTTGAACACCCCCAGGGGCGGTGACCCCACCAGCCCCCTGGGCAACCCGTCCCGATGCCTGACTGCTCTTTCTGAGAAGAAATGTCTCCTCATTGCCAACCTGAACCTCCCCTGGGGCAACTTGAGGCCATTACAGAATCACAGAATCACAGAACTGTAGGGGTTGGAAGGGACCTCTAAAGATCATCGGGTCCAACCCCCCTGACAAAGCAAGTTCCTCAGAGCAGGCTGCCCAGGTAGGCGTCCAGACAGGCCTTGAATATCTCCAGAGAAGGAAACTCCACAACCTCCCTGGGCAGCCTGTCCCAGTGCTCCGTCACCCGCACCATGAAGTTCTTTCGCATGTCAATGTGGAACTTCCTGTGCTCTGACATGCAGCCATTGCCCCTTGTCCTGTCCCCACAAACCACTGAAAAGAGGTTGGCCAAATCTCTCTGTCTCCCACACCTCAGGAATTTATAGCAATTGATGAGATCCCCTCTCAGTCTTCTCTTCTCCAGGCTGAACAGACCCAGGTCTCTCAGCCTTTCCTCATAAGGAAGATGCTCCAGGCCCCTTATCATCTTTGTGGCCCTCTGCTGGACTCTTTCCAGGAGATCCCTGTCTTTCTTGTACCGGGGAGCCCAGAACTGGACACAGTACTCCAGGTGAGGCCTGACCAGGGCAGAGTAGAGGGGGAGGATCACCTCCCTTGACCTGCTGGCCACGCTCCTTTTAATGCACGCCAGGATCCCATTAGCCCTCTTGGCCACAAGGGCACAGTGCTGGCTCATGGTCAGCCTGTCGTCCACCAGGACCCCCAGGTCCTTCTCCTCAGAGCTCCTCTCCAGCAGATCGTCCGCCAGCCTGTACTGATACTTCGGGTTGTTCCTTCCCAGGTGCAGGACTCTACACTTGCTCTTATTAAATCTCATTTGGTTTCTCCCTGCCCATCTCTCCAGCCGGTCCAGGTCTCGCTGAATGGCAGCACAGCCTTCTGGCGTGTCAGCCACTCCTCCCAGCTTTGTGTCATTGGCATACTTGCTGAGGGCAGACACTATTCCCTCATCAAGGTCATCGATGAAGATGTTGAACAAGACCAGACCCAGCACTGATCCCCGGGGACCACCACTAGTCACAGGCCTCCAGCCAGACTCTGCTCTGCCGATCACCACCCTCTGAGCTCGGCCAGTCAGCCAGTTCTCTTCCCTCTGGTCCTATTGTGGTGCATTCAGGAGCACTGGCACACTTTTACCAAGGCAGGCTAAATGTTGAGCTTCAGATGTAGAAGCTCGGAGGCGTGCTGCTTCGGTGCCTTACTTACAAAAACCGAATTTTCAAAACACTAGTAGAAAAAGTGTATACATTGTTGGTGTTCCTACATCTCCTCTGATGTTCTCTCTCTGTTTCCTACTTTAGAAGAAATTTCTTTGCCTTTAAGTTGAGCGGTACTTAGCCAAGCAGTGTTTTGACCCATAATTTGTTGTCCTAGGCATAAATTAAGGTCTACAGCGTCAGTAGGCACCAGTGGTATACACTATAGTAATTAATGCTTGGAATATCATGAGTAGCATTTTAAAAAATATATTAGACATTGAGGCTTCAACTGTTCTTTTTACAGAGTTGCTGTGTTTTTTAGCCTATCACTTACTCCTGCGTATGTAAGTATATCTGTGCCACCACTTTGATCGTTGTTCAGAGGGGAAGTTACAGGCTTTGCAGCGACTGTAGCACGTGTGTCATCTGCACCCTTTGTGGTGTGACAAGCTTGGCATCCATCCACTTCAGCACCCCACCAAAATAAAAGGGATTGTCGCATGGAGGATTCCAGATCTGGATGGCTAATGGGACAAACTGAGTCCCACAAAACACAGATTTAATGATTTCCTGCTTCCCGGCTTCCCTGTGCAAGTCATTTTCCTCTCACACCACACCCTCAATTGTGCTGTGTGTGGAGTGACCCAGTGAGCTGCATTGGGGAATCGATCCTGGTGAGAAATAATCTCAGCTCTGTTTTGCAATGAATTTTAACATGGATCAATTCGCTGATCCATTCTGTTGGAGGCATCAAGAAGTGAGGGAAGAGCCATGCACCCTGAAGCCTCCAGGCAACAAAAATACACCCTTTGTGGCTGGTGAATGAGAAATCTGTATCGCTGGTTTTCAAAACAGGATACAGGGGCTGGGACAAATGTATAACATCTGTGCTCCTTCTGTCATAAAAGACTCTAACGCTACTTTTTTCTTTCTTTCTATTTTTTTTTTTCTCATGATAAGCCTCATTTCTATTATTGTTTTGCCAGTTTATAGTAGCAAGGCTTGGTGCTTGTTTTCAACTGTGGGAGGGAGCGCTGGGCAAGGAGAGGGCACAAAGGCCCTCTCTAAAGTAGGTGTAAACACTTTTTTATTTTTTTATTTTTTATGTTTGGAAGATATAATGCTAGGAAGCTTAACAACTGTCCTTCCAGGCCACATTGCTATGAACTAGATGTATTTCAACCAAGATCTTCCACAGTCACAGGATTAGGTCATATTTGGGAGATATGTCCCTCCACATAATGGCATATAAACATCTGTGTCCAGTTACATATTAGAGGAGGAATTACAATGCAAGTCATTTGCTGAGCTGTGTCTTTTAGTGAGATTGCTGTGAGCTCTACCCTGCTTCTCAACCTGAATTGGCGAACCGATTTGTCAAGCAGGATTCAAAAGTAGGACAAGGTCTGCAGGAGATGAAATGTGACTGCAATGGTTCATTCATCAGATGAGCTACGTGAGGTTCTCAGTTCATGCACAAGATTATCACAGAATCATACTCTGGGTTGGAAGGGATCTTAAAGAACATCTAATTCCAACCACCCTGCCACAAGCGTGGACACCTCCCACTAGACCAGATGGCCCAAAACCCCATCCAAGCTGGCTGTCAGCACTTCCAGGGATGGGGCATCCACAGCTTCTCTGGGCAACCTGTTCTCTCAAACCCTCACAGTGAAGAATTTCTTCCTTTTACCTAATCTAAACCTACCCTCTTTTAGTTTAAAACCATTATTCTTTGTCCTGTCACTCCACCCCCTGACAAATAGTCCCTCCCTGACTTTCCTGTAGGCCCCCTTTAGGTACTGGAAGGCAGCTGTAAGGTCTCCCTGCAGCCTTCTGTTCTCCAGGCTGAACAACCCCAACTCCCTCAGCCTGTCTTCATGGGGGAGGTGCTCCAGCCCCTTGATCATCCTTGTGGCCCTCCTCTGGACTTGTTCTAATACATCCATGTCTTTCTGTGCTGGGGGCCCCAGAGCTGGACGCAGCACTCCAGGTGGGGGCTCATGAGAGCAGAGGGGAAGAATCGCCTCCCTCGACCTGCTGGTCACACATCTTTTGCTGCAGCCCAGGATACGGTTGGCTTTCTGGGCTGTAAACGCACATTGCTGGCTCGTGTTCAGGTATCCTTCACTTCCATCCATCACCTGTTACCAGCAAAGCATTGGATAAATTCCACAGGACTGGGAAGAATATGCTTAACATACTATGTTTAGAAAAGTATTTAAGATTTTAAGGTTGGTGTGTTTTTTTGTTTTGTTTTGGTTTTGTTTTGTTTTTAATTGTGAGTATATCTATGAAATAATTCTTTAATAATTGGTGTCACAGAAAACTGATAATTTGTTATAAATAAGTTGTGGTAATACTTCCCTTTAGTACTAAATATAGGATGCATGAGGCTAATCTGAGTGCTGAGTTATCATGCGTTTATGGTCTTGCAAAAATAAGTCTGGGCAACTGAATACCAGAGGAGGCTCTAAGCTCTTCAAATTTACCTAATGATTTGCATCAGAAGTTGCACAAAAAAATATCTCAGAAAGGCAACAGGAAGATGATGTACCTGATCGTTATCCGTAACAGGAAGGAGGTCATCTGATAACTTTCTACTACAATAGTTTTTGAAGCACACCATAACTTCTTGCTCTCAATTCTTTATCTGGTGGAGCTTCACAACTTAATATAATGTAGGACAGATTTAAAAAAACAAAAACTGCTGAAACTGACTTTAAGTCTGTGATTTATGTTTTTTTGTTGCATGCATGTTTAAAATGGACATTTCAGGATATTAGTTAACTTATCATTAACTGCAGATCCCACGGACTTTTGTGCTAGACTTGTAAAGACTTGATGTAGTCCTGAAGGGAAAAAAAAAAAAAAAAAAAAAAAGTTTTCTAATTTTTAGAAGTCATAAAAACACAGAGTATGGATAAAAAAAAATGTAAGGGTGCTAAATTGACTGAGTGACAAAAAGGACAGGGGGGCTAATTTGATGAATTTCACATTGTACTAACATTCTGCTGGTTTTGAAGATCAGTATTTAATAGGCAAGTTCAAGCTCAAGCGTGTTACCTATGTATTGAAACTGAATGCATACCACCAATCTTCTAATTACACCATTACCATCAGCTTCAACAAGGATAATTGTTCAGTTTCTGTGCATC